CCAGACCTACTTCACCCTTTTTGGTGATGAATCTATAGGCCAATATTTAGTGTTCCCTCCCTCACCTAATGTTTCGGTTTATCTGAGCATTTTGGGAGAAAATTTCAGCTGGGGTTTAGTCTTCTTCGTACATCTGAAGATCTTTCTTATGTGTTTCATAGGAGTTAGTTGGAGATGGGCCAGCTAAGTAAGTCCTTGCATGTGTTCTGCTGGTATCCCTCCTCCTACTGCGGACTGGATGACAAATGCTCAAAACTGCCAGATTTTGGACTGCAGATGCACCCCACGTTTGCAGTCCCTCTTTTTACCAACTGCTTGACATCGGTTTCCAGTGGATCTAGTGTTAGTTGTAGCTGGGCGCAGCACATGTATTCCCACTTGTGTATGATCAGGTACCCTCCTCCTACCATGGACTGGAAGAAACATACCCAATGCCACCAGGTTTTAGACCAAAAATGTTATCACACTGGGGCTTTCCACCTTCCTACCATGTGCTCAATGCCGGTTAGTAGAGGATCAGGTGTTGGTTGGACTGGAAATGCACACAAGTGGAGACAAATTTTGGTATGGTAGATTATCTTCCCTACCAATTCCTGTTTCGAGGTGAAGATGTCGAAGATTCTCTGCCTACTACAGAACTAATGTACAATTACAGATGCTGCCAGGTGTTTAATGAGGTCAAACTACCACTACAATCTGTTGCACCCTAGCCAATCAACACCAAGGGGTCCCATTAATAGGTGGGATGGCAAAAATGGACTTTCATTTCCTACAACTGAATGATCAACTTAAACAGATATTTCCTGAAGTTCCCGTTATCTCCTTCTGAAAAAGCAGAACTATAAATGATATCCTTGTTCACACAAAAGGAAATTACATCCCACCCAGAAATGGATGTTGTCCATGTAATAAAGCCCATTGTCAAACCTGCAAATTCATACAAACCACTGACTCTTTTTTTCTGACAAGCACAATCAAGAAACTTTAAAATATCCAAAGAAATCAGTTGTGAAACAAAAAACACCATTTATCTTATACAGTGTAAAAAAATGCAATCACCAATATGTAGGACATATACAAACAACTCTTAGAGAATGTTTCAACAACCATAAATCTTCTATCAACACCGAAAAATATCTCTCTGTTGACTCAACACTTTAACCAACCCAGTCATT